GGGCTGGGTTTCCCCAGCGCGCCAGTCGTGGGCAGCTGCATGGGGCTTCCCCTGCCTCCTTGCAAAGCGGTGGCCTGACACAAGGAGGCAGGGGAAGCCCCGCGCAGCTGCCAGTGACCAGCCAGCTGGGGAAACCCAGCCATGGGCTGCAAGCGGGCGCTAGAGGAGAGGAAGTGAGGCATCCGGCCAGAGGGGGTCGCCGGGGAACAGCGCAGCCAACTGCGAACCTCCGCTGCTTTGCAAGGAGGCAGGGGAAGCCCCGCGCAGCTGCTGGGTACTGGCCAGCCGGTTGGGGAAATCGTGTTATTGTGGGGACGGTCGTGTTGTTCGAAAAATGTTCCCTAAAAAAAAAAATCATGCTATCGTGAAAAGGTGTTAAGCGAGCACTTGTTAAGCGAGGAATTACTGTAGATGTGAGAGAGGAAATTGATCTCATTTGTACTTATGAAGTGCTTAAAGGAAGTGGAGATGCTGCAATTTTCCCGCTTTAAAAGAAACGAATGAATCTGATGTGGTATTTCTTTTTCCTACTCCAGGGAGAAACCAGAGTACAATGGTGTGTTTATCTCAATGGGTATCTTTGAGTGCATTTCACAGGGCTTAGGGCTGCTTAGTATTTTAAACCCTGGTCCCTTTATAGGAATTTACATACTTTTCTCACAGTATCACTATTATAAAGAAGATCTGAGCTGCATTGCTGATCACAGGATTGATTTCTAATAGTCTCAGATGATCAGGCTTTTATCTACTGAATGTATTTCAGTGCCCAGATCCTGCCTTCTGTCAGGCACTGGTCCCCTGGCCTTTCTTGCGAGCATTAGACACTGTTTATCCATTATTACTTTTCACTTTGCAGGTGCTTTGCCGGTACCGGCACCACTGGAGCATTGAGTTGCGTTTTCGTCCTGCTTTGCTTGGAGGCATAATGAAGGAGACTGGTAGGTGTTCCACTGCTCCTGAACCCTGACAGAGAGTATGTGAAACCCCTGGCAGATCATGGCTATAAGACAGTGAACATTGCTGTGAGGAAGCTCACCACAGACCTCAAAATGAATGCTGTGGAGACTATCACAGATCATTGAGCCACTTTGAGGCACGGCTGGAACCCTGCCATTGTGCTTAGAGGTTTAAGGTTTTTTCTTCACTAGCACTTTTATTGGGGGGGGCAAGAAACCCAATCGACAAAAGTTTCACTGGCAAAAGCATCGGTGTGAACAGTGCTACGTTGGCAGGGTGCTTTAATTATGCCAGAGGAGAGCTCTATCATCAGACATGAGTTTTGTTTCTGGCTCTGTTGGAGACTTGATTTGCCTGACATCTCAAAGCACTTCATCTTGCTCTGCCTCAGTTTCTCACTTTTAAAATAGGGATAGCATTGGTAAAATGCTTTATAATGAACAGCACTTTATCTGTACCAAAAAGCTTTGGTTATTTGTCTTTTTAAAAATTGATGTAGGTGGTACAAATCTCTTTCTGGACACCTGCAAATTTACTGATGCATGTGAAATTGAAGTAACCCAAGTTTAAAGTGATATCAAAGTACCCGCACACAAAGTTGCAACTGTTTCATTAAATTACTAAAATTGTAATTTTATATTAATGTTTTACTGAAATTACATTTTTACACTTTTAGTATTTTTTAGTAACTTTTACACTGGTTTAAATTTGTGTGTAGATCAGTCCTGCTTTATTATAGCTAGTGTCTTTATCTTGTAATTTCACCTTTTCTGTAAGGTAACCAGCCCCCAGCGATGGTACCTAAACGTGGGGAATACATGATGAAAGATATAAAGAGAATGGCAAAGTATTATCAGGTCCCACTGCAGATTCCCAAGGATTTCTTTGGGAGTGTTATCAGAAAAGGTAAGTAAAGAAGTCTGCTTTGTCAGTGAGCTAACTTTCATTTCAGATGATCTGGATCCAAACCTTAAATAAGTTTAAAGGGGGAAAAGGAGTTTAAATGTTCTCTGTTCCTTCCTCCATTTATGAATAGTATGAAGTCAGTACCTAGCGTAACATGAGTGGAAATTCCTACTCAGGGACGAGCCAGGAATGGGATCGCAAAGGAGTTGCTGCAGATTGTGATTGAGGTGCATTGGCAGAGCTGCAATGGGGAGCAGCTCAGGGTACTGTAAGAGGCGAGCCCACAAGCTCTGGCATTGTAATATTTTTTTCATGGCTGTATTTAAAAAAAATAGCAAATGTTCAGATCAGTCTTTTACAAAGTGTCATATTATTGGTGACTATTCAGACAACTGCTAGAAATTCATGAAAATATTCACAAAGGCTGAAAATCTCAGATATTAGCACAAATTCATACAGGAAAGTGTTATATTGCTGCTTTAAAAAAATGTCCATCAAAGCAGAGTGCAGAACCAACTCCATGTGACTTAAGTGATCAAACACCCATCACCAGAAACATTGCAGTTGACTGAAGTGAACAGATTACAGCTCCCATAGGTTGAAAATTCATCAAGTTTATTGATTATTTAAAAATAATAACTAGATCCATGAGGACCAGGATGGTCTCTCAAATTAGCTACTCAGCAGAAATGGGGCTGAATTCAAAACAAACCATTCCCGTAGGTGAATTACAACTTAAGTTCCTTTTAGAGAGCCTGTTTAGACCCTGCTTCAGTAGCTCAGGGTATGTCTACACTACCCTCCTAGTTCGAACTAGGAGGGTAGTGTAGACATACCCTCAAAGTGTTACATTGCCAATAAAGCTCATTTGAATTTCATTGTCCTTAAGTCCTTATGTGGGACTGCAACACATGGATTAAAGGGCCATCATGCTCCGGTAATTGTTGTCCTAAACTCCTTTTGAATTATGGATGAATGACATTTTGGATTCTGCAGTAAGAAAATTTCAAATATTGCTAAATACTGAAGGATTAATTATGTGTTTGGAGGTCTTTATCAGTCACATAATGACTGGTTCGAAAAGTTAAGGGACCAAGAAGTATCTGAGGGTACAGCTAGACTACATGCCTCTGTCGCCAGAGGCATGTAGATTAGGCTACCAGACATAGGAAAATGAAGCGGTGATTTAAATAATCGCCGCTTCACTTAAATTTACATGGCTGCCGCACTGAGCCAGTGGGACAGTTCCAAGGAAATCCCATACAGAAGTAACCTTATAAACATTGGCAAGAGTTTCATGAATGCCTGACCTCTGCTTCTCGTGGACATTGCTGGGCAGGGGCAGATTAAAAGCTCTGTCTTGATGTGACATTAGTGCAGACTTCATTGGTTGGTGCTGTTCCTGTGACTCCTCAGTGTGTCTTTCTGTCTTTCACTCCAAACCCAGGCAGTCTTTTTGCCATGCGCTTTCTCACAGCCGTGGATATGACACAGCCACAGTTCCTGGAGCCTGTGTCCAGAGAGCTCTGGATGCGCCTCTGGTCCCAGGTGAGTACTCTACAAATTCTCCATGCAGCTAATTTCCCCATCTTCTGACCCTTCCTCTGCCCTCAGTCAAACATGCAGCATGAGCAGAAGGGTTGATATTTCATAGATGGGGTAGAAGACTTTTATGGTTCAGAGTCCAAACCAAGGGAAGCACTACATTCCAAGTCAATTTCAGTTTCTCCTCTTCCTCTCCATCTGTGGATGCTTCATCAATAGTTAATTCCATAATCTAGTTCTAGTTTTGGTGAATGGGATTTTTTTTCCCTCTTTCTGGTGGGAAATTTTCCAATGAGATCCCTATCCTCAGCTGAATTTTTCTGACTCCATTCCTGAAGGAAGACAAGGTTAATATGCTGAGAAATTCTCTGTGTAGATTTAGCATCTTATTCATAAACATTTAACCTTTTGGTTTCCTCCTCTTACCAGGATGAAGATATCACCCACCCAGACAGTATATTGCTAGTAAGTTTGTCTCTGTTATTACTGCTTCTACATTCATTTGTTGTGATTTATTGCATGTGGGTGTTGGGTTACCATCTATGGAAGCAATTTAATTTAATTTTTACCAGCTGCAGATTTGTTAAGAATTCACTTAGAGTTTTCAGGAAATTCCTTTAGGGAAAATATGACTCCCACAGTAGTGACTCCAATCCTTAATTCTGTAGAAATGTAACTTTGGTGCATTTTTTTTGCCAAGCCTAGGGTGGTTATTTTGATCAAGGTGACTTCCCTAACAGGATGCCCCAAAATAGGCAGTGGATATACAATTAATTATATTTCAACTAACAGTAATAAAGCCAGGAGCAATATTTAAGAGTGAACTGAGGGAAGGGGATGGTGTTGCTTCTATAAAAAGCTTTTGACTTGGGTTACAGTTTTATTCAGAAGCCAGATTGGGGAAGGGACCGTGGTGGGCTCCACTTTCAAGCCACAATTGAGATGCCTTTTAGGTTGCTTTCAAGTGGTGTCCATTCTTCTTTTCCTCACTTCCCTTATTGATATTCTGCCTGTTCTCTTTATTAGATCTCTGGCTGTAATGCAGAGATAAGCAGAATACATTATTCAGATTCTAACTAGGGTTATCAGTAGTTCTCAAAGCAGAGAAGTCACAACTATTTTTGGCAATATTAGCATGTGAATTCAGGTCATAAAAGTTTTAGCTACTCAGTCACTACCTTTCAGAATAAGTATTTTAGGTATATGTGCTTTAGCTTGTTCTGTCTCTAATCGCTTTGATCTACTCCCCTCTTAGGGCAGAAATAGAACTCAACCTCAGATCTCTGATACTCTGCTTCTTCCTCGTAAATGTTGAATCTGCTAGGAAAAGAAGTCAAGGTCTCTCCTAGTAGCTGGTCCGCATAGTAGTTAACAGTTATTCCTGTAGCTCAAGCAGTGGAAGAGTGTGCTGCTAAATTGAGGCTTTAACTTCATGAGAAACTTGCACAAGTTTAATATAAAGTGTGAATTTAACCTAAAGTTGCTAAACTTTAACCTAAAGTTGCATAAATTGATTAAGAACAGGTTTAAGTTAAACTTACATAAGCAACTTTCAGAAGTATCCCCAGAGGGTTGAGTTGTACCGATGCAGCTTTTATGTAGACAAGGTCTGGAATGTCCAGGTTCAACCCTGCTGATGGTCCATTTTGAGGACTTCGTGGGAGAATATTGGTTGTGAGAGTATTGGTTCAAGTTTTTTTTTTTTTTTTTTTTTTTTAAATGGGGTTCTCTCATTAACACAGGGAGATTTTTATAAGTAAAGACCTTAATAATCTGTGCATGATGAAGTGACACAGTAAGATAAAGGTGTCCCACATTTGGGATGCTGTGTCTTACATTGTTGGCATCATAAAGTGGCAGGTTTGAAGGTTGAGAAGTTTGCTGATAGAACAAGAGTGAGGATCCACTTTCTATTTCCAATGAACTAGAACATGTACTGCTCTTCTATACCAACATTCCTGTTTTGAAGATCACCCACCAACTTCCAATTAGGCCTACTGAATTGGATCTGTGTCAGGCAGTATCACTCCTAGTTCCTGTGTTTGCCAGGCTCTTTGCAGTTCTGATTACAGGCAGTCCCCGGGTTACGTACAAGTTAGGGACTGTAGGTTTGTTCTTAAGTTGAATTTGTATGTAAGTCGGAACTGGTACATATTGTAGGGGAAACTCTAGCCAACCATTTCTCCAGAGCTCAGTTTTATTCTCCCACACCTCACTTCCCTCAGTCCTTTATTCTCAAGCTGAGGTGTCTGCTGAGAAAAGCCGCTCCACGTCTCCCTGGTCTGCTGGGTGGGGCGCTAGGGTTGCCTCACCCCGTTTGTAAGTAGGGATCCGATGTAAGTCGGATTCATGTAACCCGGGGACTGCCTGTAATATTCTTCTTCAGCATCATTTTCACAACAGTTCCTCTGTCTTTCAACATATGAACTAAGTACTTTATTTCAGCTAAGCAAAACAACACCTCTTCCCCTCCTGCTTGCTAACTGAAAGTCCACCTAACAAAACTTGCACATTTTGAGCCTGGGAGGTAATATCCCTTCAGCTTCATATTAAAAAATTACTCAGAATGGGTGGATGTTACCAGGCAATGGCAGAAAGTAAGTCAGACAGCCCTGCAAGAGAAGTGTCTTAGGAGGAGTATTTTGTTATTGTTTTTCATCATACCTTCAAACAATGAAAATGAATGTAATTGGTATGCAAGTAGCATAAGAGCAATTGTTCTTATTTTCTGTCTCCCTCCTCAGGCAGCAGAGAAGGCTGGGCTACTCTCAGAGCAAGCCCATAAACTACTGGCAATGACCTCAACCGCAGAGGTGAAGAATCGCCTGAAGGAGACTACAGAGGAGGCACTAAAATATGGGGTGAGAAGCCCTTGTGGCAGTGGGAGGTTAGATTTGTGTTCCTTTCCCAGCAGTGCTACTATGAAGCAGCACTGAGTAGGATAAAAGGGTAGATCAGAATACAGAAGGATCCCATTCCTCTCAGACTTTTTTGTAATTTAAACACACACATTGCAAGCCAGCTCAATACCCTTAAGGTTTTAATTTCCTGCAGATTTGATTCCTGGCTCTTTCCAAAGGAACCTCAGGAGACCAGCATACCACAGACCAGAACTAGTGCCTGGGCTCACTGCTTTCCACTACCATGCAGGAAACACTGGTTTAACTCTGATTTCTTTTCTCTCAGTTGTATGGGATAATGGCCTGAAGAGTACTACAGAATCCAGGTGTGGTGAATGGGACCCAGATCCGAGACAGAAAGAAGGGAAAGGGAAAAAGAAAGTGAGGCATGAGGGAGGAGGAATGGTGATACCACTGTTGTTCTTTGGTCCAAGTTCCTCTTAGAACTGGTCTTGTGCTTATTTGTCTCTTTGTGACTCCTGTTTTGTCTCCATGGTGGAATTAGGCCTTCGGAATGCCAGCAGTTGTGGCCCATATCAGTGGTGAATCTCACCTCTTCTTTGGCTGTGACCGTTTAGAACTGCTGGGCAGTGTTATAGGTGAGTATTTATAGTAACATTTGCTTCTATGTTCTCTCCCTTACATTGCATTAGAAAAGATGGATAACTGTAACAGACACATTAACACTCTCAGGGTATGTCTACACTGCAATTAAAAACCTGCAGCTGGCCTATGCCAGCTTGCTCAGGCTTAATTTCATTACAGTATAGACATTTGGGCTTAGTTAAACAGCTCCCTAGCCTGAGCCAGCTGGCACAGCTAGTGCCTAACTACAGTGTAAGCATACCCAGAGAATCAGCATCTCCTTCCCTCTTGGGCCAGGGGAAGAGAGGGCTATATCTTTGTATCATCTGCACATTTTACCATCAATTATTTTAATTTCCTCCCAATTGATAAAAATATTGAATAGCATTGGACAAGACCTAGGAATGTAAGCAACTAGACTAGTCGATAAGCAAATTCTGATCTTATAGTCTACTAGTGACTTGACTGGTTGCTCCCCTAACCCTTGCTACCTCTATCAGCACCATCTCCGTCGGGATAAGGGGCAGGAGCACAGCGGGGAACTGGTGGCGCTTTCCACCTTTGAAACGTAGCAAGAGCCCCTGCTCTTGCTACATTTCAAAAGCAGAAGCACTGGGGGGGGCCTGGGGCAAGCTGGGGATGCAAACAGTCCCCTGCTGGCCCCATGCTTCCAGCAGCACTTTGCTCTTGAAATGTACAATAGCCATCCAGAGTCTCTTGTATGTATCAAAAGCAGGGAGTGCAGGGCCAGCAGGGGACTGTTTGAGTCTGCAGCTCACCCCAGGCTCCCTGTAGTGCTTCTGCTTTTGAAATGTAGCAAGAGCCGGCAGGTCTCTTGCTACTTTCAAAGGTGGAGGCGCCCTTATCGACTACTCAATTAGTTGATTATTTTAAATGGAACATCCTTACCAAGAACTGATGCTTGCAGAATCCTGGTGGAGTCATCCGTAGTACTTAAGTCTCAGTAACTACATGTGCTGAGACCTGTCATTTTCCCAGCTTTTTATGCATTGAGACATTGATTTTGAGTACATGCTTGTTTGAATCAGAATATCAGGTGGTATTAATTCAAATGTCTTACCTAAATCTGCATCTCCATAAAATTATCTTTACCCACTAGACTTAAATCTTTTCAAATTTGTTTGACAGGACTGTCTATTATTTTTGCCTGGACTTGAGTGGCTTTCTTCTACTTGTTTTCCTAAGGCTTTTAAAAATTAACATCAGTGGACCAAAGAGCACCTGGATAAGCTTGTATAAAAATCTTGGTTGAAAAACACCCAGATCAGCTCATTTTACAATGTTTAACATTAGGAGAAGTTGTGCAATATCCTCCTTAGTTACCACTGTGTTTTTTTTAAAAAAAAAAAAAAAAGCTTGTTGACAAACGCTCCTTTTCCCCATGCCAGCCCTCTAGCGGTGAAGTTAAAAGTTGACCTTTTCCTCTGCTGCCAACATAACTGAGAATTGAGGGCCAGATGCTCAGCTGGGTAAAAATGGTGCAGCTCTCAAATCAGTAAAGCTGTACCCATTTATCCCAGCTGAAGAGTTAGCCCTTAGAGAAAGTAGGTTGAAACCTCCAGCAGCAGGCACCTGATGCCCTTTTTTAAGACTGTTATATCAGACATGTTATTCTTATATGGAATTTTGACACTTAAGTGCTGGACAGTAAATTGCAACCACCTAAGTAAGGTAAAGCTAATTGATACAAACTCTTTTTGAACTCAAATGAAACCCAGTATTTTTAGTATATAATAGAGCAGGGGTGGGCAAAAGGGCCTCCGTGGGCCACATCTGGCCCACCAAGCGGGTGGATCCAGCCTGCGGAGGCCCTGCTGCTCCCCCACCCCACGCCAATTAGGGCCTGGAGGCGGGGGAGCATGTGAAGCCTCCTCCTGCCCTGGGGCAGAGCAGAGAAGGCTTCGGGCACTCTCCTGCATGTGGCGCTTGGAAGTGCTGCTCGCAGGGAAGGGGGAGAGTGGAGGAGGCTTCACGCGCTCCCCAGGCCAATCAGTGTTTGGGGGCAGGGGAGCTGCATGAAGCTTCCTTTGCCCTGTCCCGGCCCTGTGAGGGGCCTGGGGCACTTCAAAGTGCCACATGCTCCTCACAGGGCAGGAGGAGGCTTCCTGTGCTCCCCAAGCCCTGATTGGCCTGGGTGTGGGGGAGTGTGCCAAGCATCTTCCAGGGCATGGGTGCCTAGTGGGAAGGGGGGGCAAAGGGGCTTCCCCACCCCTTCCTGTTTAGGCCCCGCCTCTTCCGGGGTGGCCCAGGGCTACTTCAATAACTTCTGGTGTGGCCCCTGGGCAAAAATTCTTGCCCACTCCTGTAATAGAGGAACTCTTGGTCCAACTCGTTGCAAAGCTGACAGAAAATACCTCAGTCCTAGACCTATCCTAGTAAAGGGAAATCTGCCTAAAACTTATTTATGGATTTTAGAGAACAAATTCAGGATTACAATGGAAACTGAATTATAATCAATTACCACAATCCCATAGAACTAAGATGAGAGGTTCTTGATTTTTTTTTTTTTGGTTCACTTTCATAGAAGATGGTTTAGCTGGGTGTGTATTCTGCAGAGTTTGATTTTGTGATGGCTTTTTTATTTTTCTTTCTAAAATAACTTTTTTATTTTAATTAAGAGAACTGAAATAGTTTGTGGTGATCAGCATTAACTAGAACACTCCCTCCATCGCCCCCACCCCGCCCTCCCAAATAAACCCTGAATTTTGACCTCCGATTTAGCAGTGTTTGGAGACTGGCATATCTGTCACAGGAAATGAGGTTGTGATTTTTTTGTTTTTTTCCACTAGGGAGGTTAATGGTAAGCATTAATGGTAATGCTTAGCGATTCTAGATAACTGGTGGGGGCTGCTGGGCCCACTGCAGACAGGGACTGCTCTCGTCTGGAGCAGCTTCTGTCCTTGGTGGGCCTGAGCACCCTGCAGGCAGGTACTGCTCTGGGGCAGGGGGGAGGGGAGGGGTTAGGAGCCAGCAGCTCTCCCAGCCATGGGTCTGGGAGCAGGAGCACCATAGGCTGGCACTGCTCCAACTGGTCTTAGTTGGTTAGCTAGTTAAATGTTTAACCAGTTAACTGATTAACCAGGATTTTACCACCTCTTTTTTTTTTTTTTCAACCTGCCACTGTGTAGAAACTGCTGAAGGATGCCAAACTTGATTAGTCTTTGTATCCCATCCTTGACCCCCAGATCTGTGGCCAGATTTTAAAAGTCATGCTTCTCTTTGGTGCTTGGCAGTACATCTCAGCTAGCAGAGTCCAGTAGCCTGTGTGAAAAGCTGTGTCTGATTAATTAATTTCTCACTTCAGCAAAGGGCAGCCTTAGCCTGCAATCCACTCCTGTACCAGAATTTAATTTTATGTTTGTCTGTCTTACAGGAGAGAAATGGCTGGGACCAGTTCCTGCAGCTTCAAAGCCCAGGATGTGAGAGAACCAGGTGCAATATGAAACTACTAGAAAATTCACATTTCAGTCAATGAAACAGTAATGCCCATTCCTGGGTGGTGGCATCTAAGGTCCTAGCGTGGCTGAAAAAAGTAGTAATGATCCTCTGCAAGGAAAATAATCAGGACGCCAGTTCTCCTATGACATTGAGAAGGATTTGCACTTTTCTCACCATACAAACAGATTTTCAAGGCAGAATAGGGATGTGGTGGCACTTTGGTGAGTGAAGCGATAATGCAGGATCATGGGCAGTATGCAGAGCTCTGGCTCTCTGATAAGAGTGAGTGAAATCTTCTCTCAGTGGTGATGAACAGGCTAAGAGAGACAACTCATTTCACCTCATAAGATCTGAAAGCCTGTCTGGCTTTTGTCTCAACCAGCATATTTGGTGATCAGTGAGAACAGCTTAGGGAACCATAGCTCTAAATTGTATATGCAAACTCTCTTGACCTGGCTGCAGGAAATCATTCTCAGGACTCAGATACTTCTCTGAACTCTCAGCCTGTCCGTGTCTGTGCCTTCCAACTCTGCCTGTATTGCCAGTCCATTGCCCTGTTGTTCTCACATTGGCTTGCACTTAGAATGCTTCTTGTATTGTCATCTTCTCTCTTATCTGATTCCTTCACTTGAAATAAATTTCATTTGATTGTTAACCTCAGGACACACTGGCTGATTATTCTTCCCTAAGTACAATTCTACTCTGAAAAGTGACTTTGAGCTAGCTCCCTGTAGTCTTGAGGAATCCTCATCCCGCACAATGTACTGGCAATAGCCACACAAAATAAACAAATATAGCAATATCTAGGTCTCTCTATCAGACCAGAGCAGTAACTCAAGTGAGGCAGTGGCCTATCTCTCTGCCATATTTTGGAACATTTAACTTGGAATTCTGCCTAAGAGCTCGTGTAAACAAACATAAAGCTAACCATATTCCTATAGCTTCAGAGGGGTAGCTGAGTTAGTCTGTACAGGATAAACTTAAACAACAAATGGTCTGGTAGCACTTTATAGATTAACAAAACATGTAGACCGGTCATCTGAAGAAGTGGGTTGTGCCCATGAAAGCTCATACCACCCATATTCCTATATTGTACCTCTGTAGGTGAGAGGGAGAAGAGCAGGGGCTGAAAACTGATGTGATTATTTGTGTCGCTTTCCCAGTCACCACAAGGGGGAAGTAAGCTGGAAGGAGCCTTGATTGGTGAGGCTGTGCTGAAGTAAAAGCTATGTTAGTGTCTTGGCTGGGAGAGCGAGCTGCCTAGCCATGCTCCTAGGGCTACATCTAGACTGGCATGATTTTCCGCACATGCTTTTAACAGAAAAGTTTTTCTGTTAAAAGCATTTGTGGAAAAGAGCGTCTAGATTGGCACGGACGCTATGCCGCAAAAGCACTTTTTGTGGAAAAGCGTCCGTGCCAATCTAGACGCGGTTTTGTGCAAGAAAGCCCCGATTGCAAAAATGGCGATTGAGGCTTTTTTGTACAAAACAATACCGCGTTGTCCTCACTGGCCTTCTTGCGCAAAAGCATTTGCGCAAGAGGGCTTTTGCCCGAACGGGAGCAGCACAGCATTTCCACAAGAAGCGCTGATTTCAGACAGTAGGAAATCAGTGTTCTTGCAGAAATTCAAGCGGCCAGTATCGACAGCTGGTAAGTTTTTCCGCAAAAGCAATTGCTTTTGCGGAAAAACTTGCCAGTCTAGACGCAGCCCTAGGAGTCTTGTTAAGTGTCTTACCTCCGAGAGTCACTGCCTCCTTGGCTGAGCAGGTTTGGGCCAGAGAGAGCTCTTTCTTTCATGAACGTGACTTGGCTGGCAGCCGCAACAGCCTTGGTGACTGACTTTTTTCTCTTCCCTAGGCAATCGGGGGAGGAGGGCATGTAGCAAGGCTGGGGAAGGATGTGATTGCTTTGGAATTGGGGACTAGCCGTTTAAGAAATCACCTCCCTTTGGTGCAGACAGCTCCCTTCCTCCTGTCAAGCCATTCCACTCCTCAACAATCAATGACAAAAATACACACAAGACTGAACTGTCATGACATCACAAGACCTTGCCACTTGAGTTTCTTGGGGACTCTAGCATGCACATATGAATGCTCCCAGCTACAGACACACAGAGCCCATGCTGAGTTGGTCACAGTCTCCTTTTATTGCCAGCTCAAGATGCCACACAGACACTACAAGCATGGAGCGAGGGTCAGAGATTCACATTTACACATCCTGCTATTGCAGGGTACAGCGACAGCAGAGTGCAGATAGAGAAAAGGGAGAAGACACAGACAAGGAAAAAAACTAAATCTCCACAGACAAGGCTGTGAAGCCCATCAGGAACTGTAAAAGAAATTACTCCCACTTGGCCAGTGTTTCTAGTACTATGCAGTGTGGTGAGAGATGGAGGAAGGAGCAAAGACAGTCTGAGGGGACAGGCTCAGCCTCAGTTGTTTCAGGGCCTTGGACTGGTCTTCAATGATAAGACTATAATAATGACCTTTAAAGTCAATGGCATATTCAATGTCCTATGACAGCAATCCTGAAGTGGATTTCTTTGCCTTCCCAAGAATGGAATCAAGTGCTGCCTTCTCAAGAAATAAAGACCATGAATAGGCTGAGTGAGCCTACCTCCAGGGGACTCAATGGGGAAAGTTTTGTGTCAGGAATAAAAACAAACAAAGTGCTCCCTTTTCACTCTCCCATCTGCTGGATGGAAATCCCCTAGTGGAATAGCTTATTCCTGGCCTCAGAGGTGGCTGAACTGGAATGATACTTGGATGAATTAATGCCACATTTGGTTTCATGGCTGGTTTTTTAGCTGCTTTTGATGCAACCATCACTGAAGGAAGCAGAAGAGCCAGCAGTCACGGGAATCCAGCTTCTTCTCTGAGGTGAGGAGTAGCCAGGCCCTTCACTTCAGCAGAAAATCCTGAGAGAGAGAGAGAGACAGTCAGTAAAGGCAAGTTTCCTGCACTTCAAACTTATAGCTGCCATTGCTGCTGAAGGACCCATCTGTCCTCAATTTTTTTTTGTCAACTCAGCCTGATCAACCCACCCCAGATAGCCAGCAGTCCCCTCTGCGATTGTCTCCTTAAATCCTGATTTGGATTTAACTTTCTCAGGGGGTGACAAGGCAGCACAGACTGTTAGACTTGGAACTGGAGACAGCCACAGAGAATTTGTGATAGACTGAGCCACAGATTAGCCATTGAGCCAAAAACACTGGATCAATCTTGCAAGGTACCTCCCAGGAGATACAGTTATGCACAAACTCCTAAATGCAGACTTTGGTCTTCCAAAACATCTCAAAATTTGCCAAATTCACTGAATGCTTTTGGTAAAAATAAAAGTTTTATTATTTATTTGTATTATTGCAATGCCTGGTGATCTTGGTCATGGCCTAATATCCTGTTGTACCATAAACTGCACAGAAACAGAACAAAGAGATGGTCCCTGTCCTAAAGATCTTATGGTCTTATTTAGGGAAGTTAGCTTATAGTTGTGCAAATGACTAACCAATGAGTCTGGGCATATGGTTAATCTAGATAACATGCGCACTTCCCTTCTTCCTGCCTGTTTCAGAGGCAGCAGAGGAGGTAGGAGCCAGTGCCTACGGGGAGCTGGCTTTTAAGCCTCCCCCCACTTTGTACTGCTGCCTCTGATAGAGGAGCATGGAGGGTGAGGGGACAAGCTTTTAAACTGGCTATCCATGCATGCTGGTTTCACAGAGCTTCCTTTCCCCCACACCCATTGGCTGCATTGCTGCCTCTGTATCAGAGGTGGCAGTATGGGGGTTAGAAGGGAGGGAGGCAGGATGCCAGCACAGCCTCTGACTACAGGGAGCTCGGGCCTCCTATGAACAGGGGCTAATGCTGCCTTGTGCTGCTGCTGCCCCGCAGGAGCCAGTGTGCACAGGGATGAGTGGGGCCAGGAGCACACTGCCTACTGGACCCGCCTCCAGGACCATTGAATAATCATGTTACTATTAAGATTAATGGTTTCTTTAGGCATTTTCAAAATGAAACATTCAGATGCTTTAGTTCTAAATAACATTGTGCAGAACTTTATTTCAACTTTGTTTTTAAAACTTGAAATCTATTTTAAAATCAAAATAGATGAAAGGGCTTGTTCAGCCCGAAACAGAGTTTTATTTGGATTTTTCAGAAGGGTCAAAATCAGTTATTTTCTCTACATGCATATTGTACTTCCTTCCCTATGCATGTTCTTCCCCCTTTCCACTCCCATGATTATTGCCAAGTCTGCAGTCCCTGTCAGGAGTGTATCCCAGTCTAACATCCAACTTGCCCATGGGGCACTGTGCTGCTTCACTGTCAGGCCTGGGAGAAGTTGTCACCTGGATTACTGACTCACCAAGATCTTAAAACCAAAGAGACTGCTCCTGCTGCATCTCAGAACCCTAGGAACCATGATGCTCACAGAACTCTCTCTCAGCCCTGCTACCACTCACCCCATTATAACTTTGCGTTGTAGCTCAGTTAAGTTATGCCTATTTCAAAAAGCTGTCACATTGCCACAAACATACATCCCACCAGTGGATAGACAGACAAAGCAGCAGACAGACAGACACAAAGCTAGCCGATGAGCAAGAGATGGTTCAGCAAAATAAGAAAACCCTGGGAATCAAGGGAGATGTCTGAGCAAAGTGGAAGACTTAACATGCACTTGGGGGCAAGAGAGTAGAGGGTGTGTATGCAGAGGTGGAGGCAGCACTAAGAAGGGGCCAGAGTACACTGAGGCAGGGAGAGGGGGCTGGGGAAGGTTATGATGTTGAGTGGGGTGCAAAGAAGGTGCCAGAGAACAGGCTCAGCAAGATGAAAGGGGCACACCGAGTTGGCCATGGAAAGGGTGGGGACCACTAAGACATTGTGTCACTGTGAACCTGCCCGGGGGGCAAATGCCCCTTTTCTTCCGTCACTGCTAAACTTGCCTCCCACCCGCCAGCAGGGGCATGGAGGCTTCTAGCGTGTCCGTTACCTGTGCATTACCCAGCATGCACTGCAACACCCCTCCAGCGATGACATCACACACAGCACAAAATGGAGGCCTGTAGAACAAGGAAATGGCAATTCTTTAAACGTCCCTGCAGCATCTTCCCTTGCACCCTGGACTCCTGAGCGTACAAAAGCCTCCTGCACCAAGCCCCTCTCCTCCCTGCCCTTTTGTCCTCTGGGCACTAGTGAGGATGGAAACATGGAGGCCTGGCACATACCGGGCTGTATCGCTGAGTATCTGCTTTGTTGCTTTTCCCTTTCTCCATGGAGCCTGCAGCATTGGTGGATGGGAGCAGTCTGGTTACTAGAAGAGAGCCAAGCACACAAGAAAAAGAGTTCTTTCGGGAATGGGAAAACCAGTTCTGCCTGTTTCTTGCCTGTCACCTCAATCTGTGAGCCATAATATGCCTCAACCCCTGACTCATCACACCCCCACATCTATCTGAACCCTACAGACACTTGCATTGTCTGCTAAGCTCACCCTAGGGATGTTAAATATCAGTTCATTGAATAGTCAATTAACCACACGAGTTCTAATCGGTTACTCAACTATTCTACAGCCCCCGGGCAGCACGTGCACTCAGGCCCCACTTCCAAGGAGCCCCCTGCCACTGCCAAGCAGGAGCTGGTTCGTGAGGGGAGCCAGTTTAAAACCCAGCT